GAGGATATAGTGGGTGGTCGGTTAGTCCCTTTGTACTTCCTCACCAGAAAGCCTCCCGCCTCTGAAAATGAGGATCCTTCTTTCGGGATTTCAACTAACCCACCAGTTTTGTGATCAACAGTTTTGATTGTTTCCACCTTGGATGGAGCAGGTTCATCTAGAAGTGTCTCATCTTCCACATCGGCAACAGCCTCCGGATCTTGTCCCGCTTCTAGGAGAGGGGCATCCTGAATGGTGGGACCAGACTGATCTGAAGAAATCTTACCCTCACGAAGGGACTTGTATCGGTCCTGCATCGGGAAAACGAAGTTTCCGTCGGGCCTCGTGATTTTGAAAACACGATGCAACTTCACAACATCATCAAAGTCCGTTTCATTCAGCTCTTTCAACGATGCTACAAGGTAGTCACCTCTCCATAGAAAGCCGGGGTGGATGACATATCCAACAAACACTCCCGGATTGGACGTGGGATCAAACTTCAAGTCCTTCTTCGGTTTCTGTCTTGGACCAATCCAGTAGTCTATTCGACATCCGAACGGCAAGAACTGACCTTTGAACTCTTCTTCGAACCTAAGATTCCACGGTGTTCTGGAACCAGAAGGTGGTTCACACACATTTTGAGATAAACACCAGTGCCTTGCGGCGTGCGGCCAGTATGAATGATTCAACCCGGCCTGTGCAAGTGCGACTCGAGTTCCCTCGAGCACGGTTCTGATGCTCCGTTCAGCCACCGCGTTGGTTTTGTGAATGTACTCTTGACTGAGGACATGTCTCCAGCCCATCTGTTCAGCTGCAGCAATTAACTCAGGGGCATTATCACTATAAAACGTGCCAACCTCGTCCGACGAGGAAGTGAAGTGCTGAAACGCCTTCACAGTGGCTTCCGTGTTTCTTTTAGCAAAAGGGTATGCATATTTGAAACCGGTGGCAACGTCACTTATGACAAGGGCAGAGTATTCATCGTCTATGCCCAGCTCCTGTTCATCCGCAGTGATTATGAAATCGGCTGTGATGTGCTCAGCAAATTTTCGAGCATCAACCTGTCTGGATCCCCCCCGCGAGCGAGAGGGAGACTTGGTCATCTTCGCGCATTTGCACACTTCGCAGAATGGATTCTTTGGCTGGTGTGTCATCAGGTGCTTTCGTGATGCTGCTTCCTGCCTAAGGGCGCTTTCTGCAAGTGACCTAGGACTTTTCTTATCGGGGTTGCCAACAACATCTTCCCCTGCCAAATCTTTACTCTCCATCGGCTCAGCAGGTTCATCTGGAATGACTTCTACGGGGTCATTCGCCAGAAGCTCGGCGACAACTCTAGCATGCACCTCAGGATCTTCTAGAGGGGCAATGCTAGGCGTATACTCTTCTTCCGCGGCATCTTCGGTTTGCACGGAGGAGGAGTATGATGATTCACTAGGTGAATTGTTTCTGGCGACCTGACCTTCCGGTCGGCTTGGCGGTGTTCCTCTGGCGGGACACGCACATGCTGAGTCGCTATCCCACACGTCGTAGTATGGGACATAATCTCGAACTTTGAGATAAATTCTCGTCCCATCAGGCTTGACAAAGAAAGGCTTCTCTTTTGCATGCCAGATGAAGTCATAACCCTGATTCATACACTTCAAACCTACGGAGAGAACAGAGGGTGTTTGTGGCAACAAGTATGGATCCGTGTTCCCAAGGTCACCTGCGGCCATGTAGGCCTGCTTTGACGAATCACTTGGTCCATTGGCAGTCATCAACATCACGGGGTCATTTGAATTATAAATTGCATATTCGGGGCAATTCGCGCGAGTGAAAAGGTCGGTCCCACTGCCAGTGTCAATAATCCATGAACAGTTCGGAGAAAATCTCTTGCTCGCCATTGCGGGCTTTGCGTGCATATCTCTCGGGGCGCATTGGTCGCATCCGATCTCGCTGTCACATTCATACTCGCATCTAGTCGGATGGCCTTCCAATTCACGCCTCACGATGAAGGCGAGCATGGTTGCTCCAAGTCTCGCATCATCTATGCTGACTTCGTCATGGAGAAACTGATGGTCGATTGGGTAGACCTTTGAATACACGCGCGGTTTGTCCGCGATCTTAAACTGCTCACCATGTGCTGGTATCCGATTCATTTCAACCTTCGAGCTGAAACGCACACTTGGAAGGGCAGGCATATGCTTCCAGTCCGACATGAGGTTCCCCTCAGCGATAGGGGCGTTCATCATGGAAGACAACAAGCATCCCAACACACAAACAGCAGCAGGGGAAGGCTTTCCGGAAGACTTTCCCTTGTGACCTTTCTTCTTCTCTCCTTTGGAGTCACGGGAAGTGGATCGAGAGGTCGACTTGGAACGATCCCTGCTCGATTTGCGATGCTTCCGGTCCTTTCCCTGCTTCTTTTGCTTGTCTGCGGAAGGCTCCCTTGACCCTGGAACGGCCGGCTTCGGATCGATGTGAGCAAATGGGCAGTTTTCACCACGGTCACATCTCCCCTTAGGGTAGAAACGGCACTCTTTCTTTCCCTTTGGGCTGTTCGTTCGGCCTTTACCCTTACCCTTCTTGGGCTTAGCGTCTCTTGACGGGGTCCTACCCCTGGCATCGCCCGATGGCTGTTCATGCTTGTACGTGCAATTGTCCCGCCGACACGACCCATACTTGACAAATGCAATGCAAAACCCCTTAGGCACACGTTGGCTCTCAGCGGCGGGTGCGGCTGGCCTGCCCCCGTTCTGCCTAGCAACCCGTTCTCGGTTGCGCTCGAGCCTTGCTCGAGACAGGTATTGCCTCACAGATTCAATCAAGTAGGTGTATGAGTGATCGGCGGACTCTTCCGAGGCGCTCAAATAGACATTCAAATGGTGTTGCATTTGCTTGCTCTTTTTCAGCTGGTTGTAGAACAGAGCCTCAAGCATGGAGTCATCCGGCGTCTTGGCATTCATTCCTGCAAGAACACCCTCCCAGCTACGCATGAAGGAAGTGAGGTTATCGTTCACGAGCCTCACGTTGAGGAGATCCTCCATGGCATAGGTGGCTCCGTGCTTGATGTTCGTGCTCAGGTGCTCATGCACCATAAGAAGCACTTGTCTCCCACGAACTGGATTCCTCTTCTGCGCCTCTATCTCCTTGAAGGTGTCGACTTGTCTCGCCAGGTCACCCTGAATGATGTTGGTGAGGGCGGACAGCAACTTGGCGTCCAATGTGAGGAAGGCACCGGGATCTTTGAGCTCCTCGATTGTGACGGCGGGCTCCCACACTCTGCTGATCCACGTGAAAGCGTCATCAGGGCGGTCGGATGCCGCACATACGGCTTCCCGCACCTTGATGCGCCAATTCCTGTAACTCTCAGGAAGTGGGAAGGATGGAACAACAATCCTCTCCGCCTCCTTAACCTTGGGCTTGTCATGGTCTGCGTCCACTGCGCTCGCCCGCTTACCCAAGATCTTGTTGAGCTTCTTGCGGATCACTCGTGCCTTCTCCGATGATGATGACGAGGATGATGATGTTGAGGAGCTGGATGATGAAGAGCTTGGAGAGTCGGAAGGAGACCCACTCTTTCGCTTCTTGTGGCTCTTCTTCTTCTTCTTCTTGTCCTTCTTGCTCTTCTTCTTTTTATCCTTCTTCTTCTTCTTCTTGTCCTTCTTGCTCTTCTTCCCATCGTCATTCCCATCGTCATCGTCGTCGTCAGGATCATCGTCATCATCGGGGTTACCGGCAGGTGGTTCCCCACCGCCTCCGCTCTGGCCATTCCCTGCGCCTGATGGACATCCGCCACCATCGTTAAGGTCCTGTGCCGGAGATGTCGGTTCGTAATCCCCGGCATCCCCGTCAAGATCATCGGCGGCACCTGGCCCGTCACGGCGGAGTTCGGTGGAAGCTGACCTGACACGTACCTTAGAACTAAGATCCAGGCCAGGGGGAGGAAACGTCTGTACAGGAGAGGCCTTTGGCCTCAGACCGAAAATCGGAACATTAGAAGAACTACTCTGCTCACTGCGAGATTTCAGTTCATGACGTAGTGCCTCAATGTCCCTCGACTGCTTCATGATAATCTCCCTCATTTCAGCAGCGTTCCTGTCCGCTTCCTCCTTCTGCTTGTTGTGGGTGACTTCCCAAATCAATTTGAGCCGTTCATACTTCTGTTCAGCTTCTGAGCGTTGAGCAACCCACTGCTGTCTTGCCTCGTTAAACTCTCTTTCTTTCGCCATTGCCTCTTGTTGGCATACATTGATGTGGTTCACCGCGTCCTGATAGAGTCGGCCTTTTTCCTCAACATGGCCTGCTTGGAGCTGATTGATGATGGCGTCGTGGCGTGCCGAAGCATAGGCAGCCACTTCCTCCGTACTCGGACCTGTGTTGACCACATTCACCGTCTGGCTATGTTGATATATGTTCGGGGCGCTCACATGATGTTGATGAAGGTGAGTCTCATTCTTAGTCATGTGCGCGTGCATCTCTTGCCCAGGTTGATGTCCGGCGAGAGGTTCCCCTCCGCTTCCCATCGAATCCTCCGGAAGAACGACCGATGTGATGGGCACAAGCGCATCACCTTGGTCGGATTCAGGAAAACTGCTTCGGGAGCGCTGTGACGGATTGCATGGCGGTTTCCCTTCCGGATGCCCACCCTTGATCAATTCGTTGGCCACTGCTTCGTTCATCCTTGCTATGGCAGGGTGGCATCCGTCGCCGCTTGACGCCATTGCGGCGCGGGTGAGAGCTGACTGTACAAGGTACCAGCGATACGGCTGATAACCTGTTGAAAGGTGGGATCTACCTAAAAGTCAGCACGGGCAGCAGCTTGTTTTTCTTGAGCCATTGTCATGTCAGTATGCCATTACCTATCAACAAGTTTCACGTTATCATCGAATGATTATGACGGAACTTGGCTTTGAGGTACCCCACAACCCCATTCAAACTGCAGAACAGCTCTCCCCAGAAACCCAAAAGGCCATCCGAGAAGCCAAGAACGAAGCCCCCTTCAGGGAACTTCCTGGGTTCAGCCCTGCCCAGCCCGGCGCCTCCGAGTGGATCTGCATCGCCAACTCGCGGGTGGGAGCCATGACCTCAGGAGAGTCACTTGCTCAAAACCCGGTACTAAAATGGTCCCAGAACCACAAATGGTTGACCCAGAACCATGTAAGGAATTAAGAAGGCGGATGTCCGCAGCTATTTATGGTTGGGATTGTCCTTTACTAAGCTTCATCTACCCGGGTTTTGATTGTGGCTCAGGAGCAAATCTGGGCATCCCCCAAAAAAACACAGATGACATCTTTTCGAAAAATTTGAAGGACACAGAAACGGTGTAAGAGGCCTTTTTGTCTCTGGCAAACAAGGGCGACTAGCTTGCCCCAACTCTCGAAAAAAAGCCAGTGCAAGAAGTCGGGTTTTACAAGGATACCCCACTTGTCGATTTTCTTCTGGAGTCACCCTTTTTGGGGTTGGTTAAAGAAACCAAAGGGCAACCAACCGTTTTCTGGTTTTCAAGGGAATCCACATTTTGTTGGGGGGCTGGGCCATTTGATCTCGAAACCTGGTAATGTTAACCCCGGATTAATAAACCCCTGGTTGATGAACAGGGGGGTGTCCCCTTGTGGGGATTCAGACCACTTTTGGAGGGGTTTCCACCCCCCTAATGGGATGGGCTTATGAATCCTGGGTCACCTGGCTTTTGATTGTCACCGAGCCGGTGCCCGCCCTCGATCTTCATCTAAGCAGCCAGAGCAATGGGGCCATCTCCGGCAAGCAGCGCCGGCTGCTCCTCAGACATGGGCCCCAAACCCGTCGACAACCCCAAACTCGTCAACCCCAGCTTATCAATTCAATAGGCGGTGGGGGGGCATCTGATTCCCCACGTTTCACCCAGGACAAGTACCCCCGTTACCATAAAGTAGGGTTGAACATGATGTGGCAAAATCGGTTCTGTGCATCTCGGCGGGCTTCGGAGCGCATGCTACAAATCTTGCTGTCTGACCGCGAAAAGTCGAAAAGTCGAGAAAAGTTGCCGCGTACCCCGACAAGTCGAAAAACACGAAAAGTCGAGAAACTCGAAAAGTCGAAAGAGTCGAAAAGAAAAGTTAAAAAGTCGCGAAGAGCCCGAAAGAATGCGAAAAGTCGAAAACACCAAATGCATAAACTGGTGATGTTGATTTTAAAAAAAAAAAAAGTAACGCGCCATACATTGCCGTTTCTGCCTTGGCCTTCTGCTTAGGTGAGCGACCCTTCTTTCTTATTGATGGGGAATGGATTTTGCAAAACGACACCTAGCCCCTAGTCACAATACCTCATTTAGATTGTGCTGTCCACTGATGTTCACCCTTGACTACAACAGGAGGCAGGAAAACCTGGACTTTCACAAAATACCCTTAAAAATGTGGTATTTGGAGTAGGGGAAGAGATGCATTCCTGCTCAATCCCAGCTGCTGGTAAATCAAGAGTTGGGTAAAAAAAAACAAAAAACGCTACAGTAAAAATCCAAATGAACTACCTTCTAACCATCATTCCTACTTTAGCTCCGGCTTGGCCGCTCTGCTCAAAAGTCGAAACCGGGCCTCTTCTTCCGCCAAACAACTGGCGAAGCCACGGTCGACCTCGCGGGTCTGGGCCCGGCGCGGCAATGTGAATCAGGCCGGGCAGGAGGTAGGCGAGCGTCTTGCCTGGCTACGGCCTAGGAGTCTTTAGGAAAGAAAGCGGGGACTCTGGTAGTCTACCTGAACATTACCCCCTTCCCCCCCCCAAAAAAAAAGGAAGGGAGAGTCCTTTTGTCTGGTGGAGCAGGTCATGTTTTCATAAGAGGGTTGAACTGTCCTCTTAGGGGGGGCAGGGAAGTCAACCCATCTTTCCAGTCAACGGAGTGCAAACAGCTTTTCTGCGTGGTTTTGCGGGTTTGCACTGAGTCACCACCCCCCCGTCATCAACATTGCGGAAGCCAAATACACCCCTGCCAGTGGTCACACTCCTGTGAGTCATCATGGTTCCCTCAGGAACACTTCCACGCATTCTCTCTCTCTCTCTCTCTCTCTCTCTCCCAATTCAAGAGGATCCATGAATCTTCAAAAAAAAAGTTCTCTCTCTCTCTCTCTCTCTCTCTCCCAATTCGAGAGGATCCATGAATGTTCAAAATAAACCCCAATGAAATCTTCGCATCACGGCACGAGGGGACACGTTCACATGACCCTCTTTCTGCACTCAACATGCCAGCCCCGCCGCTGCCCGTCTGAGCTATGCCCACCATGTCTCGCCCGCTCAACGCTGCAGGCCAGCCTTGAAGCGCACAATGCTTACAAGAACCGTAAAAGTAACAAAATCAGAAATTATCATCTGAGCGTGTTTGTATTACGCCCTGAATTTCCACCCTCAGATTACACCCTTTAAAATGACCCAGAATGGTTCAAAATAACACGGTTTTATCCGGAAATGTGCCTCAATGGGGTCAATACCCAGTGGGTGTATTAAAGTCATGAATACTGGTCGATAAACCACCTACCAACTGGTAGGAGGTTTAAAATATCCAGTCCTGCAGCTAGAGCAATACCGCCTGAAAATCTGGTGGAAAGCAGACGACCTGACCAGTCAAGTTCCATTTCTGCCATTTCTGTCGCATCCGGGCCGCGCGGCTCGAAATTTTGCGGATGGTTGCGAAAACCAGAAGTCGCACCTAAGAAACCCTGGAATGCAAATGCCAACAATCGTCGACCCTTGCAGTTGGGGTTTCTCGACATACTGTGGATGGACGAAATCCTGCACCACCTAAGAAACCCTGGAATGATGATTCCCCTGCAAATACCAACAAGCAGTGGACTCCCTTGGTTTCAAAGCGGTGCATTTGAACTGGATTTCGCCACCATCCACAGTATGAATTCTCGGTCTCGAAAAACCTCACGTGCCAAATCATCTTTTGGCCGGACGCTCGGGCAGCCAAGGCCATTTGAACGGATGACCGAGGCAGCCTTCCACCAGGAACCGGCCGTTTCCGCTCGAAGTGATTACCCCGCTGGGCTTTAAAAGAAAAACCTGCAGGAAGGCCACGCATGTTGTCATGATTAGAGTTAGGCCTGTAGAATGTATATTCTATTGTTTGCTTCACTTTGAGTCACTGGTAAAACGCAAAATGCATCCTCTGAGTCTATCCCAGGTGCGGTTCCCCAACCCCCCTGGAACCAACAGTCGTCACTCCCCAACGCGCGCATGCAGGACCCGAGGTCGCGGCCCACCGCCTGGATGGGCGTCGGCTGGTCGAAGCCCGCGCCTTTCACCTCAAGGAGCTCCCGTGGTGAGAGTCGAACAAAGCCAACCCACGCCTCAGGTTTTGCAGTTGTTCCTTCTTCTTTTTTGTAAGTTGTTGTTGTTTCTTTGCTTTTTTGTTTCAAACTTCAACGAGTTTGACCTGAAACAAGACAAAGTCCAAAGCGTCGAATTGGCCCACGAAATGGAAATTGGTTTTGGAAGTGTCCGAATTGGCCCAAACTGTCCAAGTTCCTGAAAACCCGAAAAGGGTCCACCGGTGTGCCATCAGTTCCACCAAAAAACCACCATCAAGGAACCCCAAGTAAGCGATTGGTACTTTGACCATGGCACATATTGGGGGGTTCTCAAAATAGGGAACCCCAAAACGGTTGGCGTCCTTGGTTTCCCTCTAATACCGACCAAAGGGGCTGCCGAATTCCGTAGTATACGGCTATGAATTCCAAAAAGAAGCCACGTGTTTGCCATGGCTAAAAGACCCCAAGTAAATTGGGGCTGCTCAGGATGGACCAGTCTTGGGTCTTAGGAGCTTGCTCTCAGAGAAGTCTAGAACTTCTACAGGAAATCGGATGTTCAATTAACCACCCTGTAGAAGGTAAAATGTAGATGGTCCAAAATGCGTTGGATTCCTAAACCACCCAAAACCCCTTGAATTCCTGTATCTAATTGTAGAAGTACATACCCCTTGTTCATACCCCTTGGCTTCCCTGGTTTCCAACCCACTTCATAAGGGGAATATGCCCCTTTTGGGGAGAGGGGGAGAAAAAAACATCCGTAGGCTTGTTGGGTTCATTTTTCCACTTAAAAGTCACTTGAGTCATAATCAAAACCTGGTACAACAACTGGTGAACCCAGAACCATGTAAGGAATTGAAAAGGCGGAAATCCGAAATGTCCTGCTGATTCCTTGGGCCGAAATGAGGGCCGGGCTGTCTGCAGGAGGTCTTCCGGCAAGCCGATGCAGTCGAACCGAGTCACAGGCCTCGCGGACTCGCGTCGCGTTTCTGGCGGGAACGCCCGGCGGTGGTCCGTTTGGTTTCGAGAAAATGGAACCATTCACAGAACCAACCAAACAAAGAGAGAGAGAGAGAGAGAGAGAGAGAGAGAGAGAGAGAGAGAGAGAGAGAGAGAGAGAGAGAGAGAGAGAGAGAGAGAGAGAGAGAGAGAGCGAGGGAGCCAGGGAGGGAGCCAGGGAGGGAGGGAGGGAGGGAGGGAGGGAGGGAGAAAGGGAGAGAGGGAGGGAGAGAGGGAGGAGAGAGGGAGGGACAGCGAGAGAGAGGGAAAGAGGGAGAGAGGGAGGGAGAGAGCTATGACCTTTGCACCCCCCATGTCTTGCGAAGGTCGGATTCCACCAAAGGTCACACCCAGCCCCTCAACCCCAGCCCCCAGCCCCCAGCCCCGCCAAAAAGAAAAACGAGCAGATCACTTCGGAGCGATCTTCGATGTTTGTCCGGCCTTGGGTGTGGCTTGCGGCCCTCGATATTCGCATTCAAGGCCTGCCGCGTATAGGGCGTCACATCCCATGCAAAACACCCCTGTTGCGAGATGGTCTTAAATTGGAAGCAGTTTGCTCCGGTCTTATCCACCTCTGCACCCAAAAAGAGAAACGCGCCCAAGTCCAATGACCGAGGTCGCGCCAAAACGGGAGTAAGACTTCGAATTCGCGATCACAGTTGGCAAAACAACTCGCTGCTCATCTGCCACCACACCAAAACAAACTCCAAAACGGAAGCTCCGAGGAGAGAAAGACCGCCGAAGCCCCGAAGAAAATCCCCCGCTCCGCCCGCCTTCAGACTCTCTGCGACCTGCCAGGCTTCCCAGCATGAGCGGCTCATGTGAACTTTGTTTTTTGAGTTGCTACCAACTTTTGAGTTGCTTGGCTTAAGGGAACGCTAAAAGGAAGGGGTACCCGACATGTTGGTCGGGGCCCCGACCAAAACTATTTCCTGACTTGTGGAGACACAAAATATTTGAAGAACTGCGACGTCCTCTTTCCGTGCCTGCTGCTCGGTCATGGCGGCGATCTCCGGGTGTTCCTTGTAAAAGTTCCTAGGCTTCGGTAAAACAAGCCCAGCCAGGCAGCCAGCCAGCCAGGCAGGCAGGCAGGCAGGCAGGCAACCACCCAACCAACCAACCAACCAACCAATCACTGGGTGTTTGTTTTTTCTGCTTCTTCTTTTCGAAGAATAGATGAGGTCCGCTGCGGGCTGCGAAATGGAAACCGAAACAAGCTGAAACCAGTGAAACCCTGCTTCCAAAGGATGCATCTATGTTCACACAAAATGAAAGCGGCTCGCACGGGAATTGAGACCCCGACTTTTGCACATTGACCAACCTGAGCGGACGATCCAAGTTCCACAACACCGGATTGAAAACTTGGCGGCAATCACCCCATGGGCCATTTCCGCACAAAAAAAGTACTGCTGAAAGTATCTCGCTCTTTGTGCAATCGAAGAACCCTTGGATCACCCAACTTAGACCCAGATCTCCCCAGAAAAACAAACTTTTCCGGAGGTTCCTTCAAAGTGCTGCTCCAAAACAAAGTCCACAAAAGGCCAGTGGTGAGGCCACAGCTCCTCCTGCTGCCAGTTCATGTGCTTGAGGTTCTGACCTCGAGGGCGCGAGCACAAACATGGCGGAAGAGTTCTGGAAGAGTTTCCTGGGTTCCATGCTGGACAGGGGGTTTACCCATGTGGCCATGGAGTCTGTGCACTTCCATGGGGTGGTGTAGGAAGTTAAAGGAAACGTCGCCATTTTGGGGTTCTTTTGGCCATGGGTCAAAATCCAAAGCCCGTACCCCCAGTGAACATCCGATTCAATCCAACCACTAGAATAAGTTCTAAAATGGGTGCGCCTACGTCGAAATGGTACCATTGGTTTTGATCCACAGCCAAACTCGCTCCAAACACAAAAATGCGCATCGGCAGACAAGTGGGTGTGTCTCAAAATAGGAATCGGACCCCCAAAAGTATAGTTGGTTTCTCGTGGGTTTCCTTTAAAGCCAACCCAAGCGGGGGGTTCCCAAAACAGAGCGAGCCAACCCCAATTGTCCAACTTCGCATTGAGTGCGAAGCCCAGGCTCCCCATTCGGTCGGGCATGCTTCCACCCGTCAGGGGCGTATCATAACCTGCAAGGCATCGCTCCGAATCGGCAGGCAACCATGCAAACAAATGTGCCTCCCTTGCGAACTTGTAGCTGGATTCAACCCTTTCAGGGTGGCACGTATTTGGGTGACCCGTCGTTGAATGGGTTGAACAGGCGGGTTCTGGGATGCTACACACATGATTGTCCTTTGGTGCAAGCTACCCGTGTATTAGAACCTGCTGACATCTGCATTTGCTTCAGAAGAGCTGCCAATCACGAGAACTCAAGCCGGCCTCTTCTGCCTCCGAAATCCTCAGCTTCACAAAGAGCTCAAAAGACCACCGATCGACCCCCGACATTCCAGGAAGCGGAATTCAGATTGAAAGTGCAAACGTTGACATGGCCCTTACAAAACTCCTGGCTCCTTGCCTCCCTCTGCAAAGGCCAATTTGGCTGTGGCTCAAAATTAAACTGCAAGGGCTACGCAGGTCTTAGTCTTTGGTTCCATTTACCAAGGCGCTATTTCGGTACATGTTTTGTGCCACAGCCATTTGGAGACCCCCCCCCCAGTTCCTTGACTCCCTTCCAATTGCTGGGCACTCGCAAAAACTTTCTGATGAGCTCCGCGCCTTGCCCCGATCAAAGCGGCCTCCGTCAGAGCGGCCTCCGTCAGAGCGGCCTCCGTCGCTCCACTTGCGACGCCGATCGTCGAATCGAGGGACACGCCTTGGCCTCTGAAGTCACGGCCAGAATCGTCGAAGCGAGATTTTGATCTGCCTAACGCATCGCTTTCGCGCGATCGGCGCAAGTCGCCGCATGAAGAAGTGGATGGATGAAGAAGTGGAAACTGCACCTGCTGGAATTGATGGTGTATCAAGCAGTCTTCAGAGGTTGTCCGTTCCAAGTAGCTGCTTGTTCGCTTTAAAGCAAACCCAAAAAGGGTCAAACAACCCACACACACACACACAGCCTGTGTCGGATTCTGTCCATCGACACACCATTCATCAAGCTTTTTGAGCTGGTTGCCGAGCCTGGACTGTAGGGATCCTAGCGAGACGGTCTGTCTCAAACTGGTTTGCTTTTGGTTTGCCTTCACAGTAAACCACCCCAAAAAAGAAAAGCCCATATCAGGCTTGAGCATACAGGTGGGGGTTTGGCGGGGGGGGGGAGCTTGACCCACCGTGTACCCTCCAAGCAAACATGGTTTGGGGCCGGAGCCCTTTTCCAAGATGAAAGCGCTCGCGCCATGTTTGGGAAGGCAACAGCTACAAGAACAAGGAGACTATGATAACTCAAGCTTGACTCAAGCTTATGAGGAGGGCCATGCTTGAACCCCATCCTTTACAAAACACCTGCAAGCGCATGCTTTTTGCAGATCGTTGGCTGATTGAGGCGGCCTGAACTACCCATCCCTCTTCACTGACGTTTGGGGATCTTGAATGTATGTTCTATTTGGCGTCCAGCACAAAATTTGGGATCCCCCTCAGCAAAGGATCTGAGTCACGGAGTAAAACTGGGGGTCCCCACAGCATTGGGTATCCTTTCGGCTTCTCTTTTTTCACCATCCAAACGGATGGGATCCCCAACTTTGGCTTTGGGTCACTTCCCCACTGGAACATGATCCGTCCTGTCCACCATCGTAGGGGTCGATTGAGAAGCACCTGCGACATCGATCCCTTTGCATCGATAGACAAATCTGTTTAAACCGGCGCTTTGCCATGGTGACCACCCAAGTACCCTGCCCCTTCAATCCAAACACAACCAGCACCTGGCTTAGGCATCCACTTTTTGACTACAAGATAGATTTCAACCCAGGTTCCCTTGGGACATCAGCCACCCCGGATTTTGTTAAGTCCATCGGGTCGTCCAAAAAGCGGAAGGCCCCTGGCTTTGCCAGTGGAACACCTTCCTGGGATCCACGTTCCCGCGTTCCCGCGAACTCCCGGAAAGGCCAGTGATGCCAGCGGCTTTGCTCAGTTGGCTTGGCCCAACCCTGCTCGGCCGGCCTCTCGGCTGGGCTTTTTGGTTGCGGTCGGGTCTGGGTCTATGGGGTCCAAAGGACCAGTCTCCTGGACGGCCTCTACAAAAACCCCCCAACCCCCCCCCCAAAAAATAGAAGAAGTAGGGGGCCTGGGGGGAAGTCTGTTGATGGTTGCCTGTTCTGGTTTTTATGTTCATCTCAAATCTATGTTCCCCCTTATTCGTTTTGAAAAGAGGGTTTTTAGGGAGCTTATTTATCGTTTTCGTTAAGGTAATCATTTGGGTAAATTGTCGCCTTGTTCATTGTTGGGCTAGGGGCAAACATTTTTTTCATTTGAAAGAGGTAGCCCTTTTAGTAGTTATCAAGTTCTGGGGTGTTGGTGGGTCGTTTGTTTCTTTGACGTTTATCTCTACAATTATTTATTTTCGTTCTACACTCTTGACAATATTTATATCTTTTTCCACTTTTTACATTTCCAAATTCATCAATTGTTTTATCATAAAGGCATCTGTTGCATTTGAAGAATTCACCATAGTCTTCTGTTGCTTTTTCTTCTGTCATTCCATAATTATTCATTATAGTTTGCTTCACAACCATTTCTTAATATATCTTAACAACTTCTTTTTATGTGATTTTTATGTGATTGTCTAGCTATGTTTTATAGGTTAAAAGTTCGCTATAATTATAACATATAAGATTTTACATGTTATAATTATGGTTTAGTTATGAATTACACAGGTTCATCAACAATTAGTTTAAACCTTATGTTTTGTACTCCTCCAAAATTCATTCTACTTCTTTCATCATCAATACATCTGTATATTGTTTGATGTGCCTCCATCATTACTTCTGTTATATTATCTATGGTTATATTATCTACAAAATCATCACTACGAAAATAAAAACTAAAAGTGTTAAAATGGTTGTCTTCATAATTGAAATGATGAAACCTTACAAACATATTTACCTCAACTATTATCACTGTTTCATAACCGTTATCGGTTTCAATGCCATCTAACAAGCAATCTAAGTTTTCATTTTCATTAAAAACTATATCTTTGATGCTTTTTATGCTTAAAGGTATATTTCTTGAAATGTAATACTCAATTACGTGTCTCTTTATATCATCGCCATCTTCAACAGTATAGCGCTTTGTCTTTCTTTTTGTTTCTGTTCTGTCTATTTTATATCGTTGTTGTATTCTCTTTAATGTCTTAATATGATTATGTTTTATTTTCAAATACTCAGGTTCTCCTAATTTATATGAAATGATACCTTTTAATACATCAACAGGTAAGCTAGCACAATTCTTAACCATAAAATTATTATCTGATATTTTACCCCCACTCATTTTTCTCTTAATATGTTATGCTATTTTTTCTTTAAGTAGTTTTGACTAGGGGGTTGCTGGTCAGCTGGTCTGGGTTTCAGGTTTAATTTAAATGTCTGTGTGAGCCAGACCTTGCTGTGCGAGCCAGACCTTACTGTGTGAGCCAAACCTTGCTGTGTGAGCCTGACTGTGTTGTGTGAGCCTGACTGTGTTGTGTGAGCCAGACCTTGTTACTTGAGCCATTCTCCCCTTAATTGGGGAGTTCGCCCCCCTTAATTGGGGAGTTCGCCCCCCTTAATTGGGGAGTTCGCCCCCCTTAATTGGGGAGTTCGCCCCCCTTAATTGGGGAGTTCGCCCCCCTTAATTGGGGAGTTCGCCCCCCTTAATTGGGGAGTTCGCCCCCCTTAATTGGGGAGTTTACCCACCGTTTTCAAATCCAATGATATAACATTATAACCGAGCGACTTTGCTACTTTACCAACTGAAGAAGTACCACTAAATAGTTCTAATAAGTGCATATATTATTAGAACTATTTAGATATTAATATTTTCACATACATATCGTTGATGTTTTTCAGTTCTCTCGTGTCTTCTTATATCACATTTCCTGAAAACACCACCACATTCACATTCAATAGGTTCTTTTCGTTTTTCCAATATTGTTTCTTTGTTTTGGTGGTAGTGCTCCCTACTTTTATTACATATATGTTCTTTGTTGTTTTCTGCGTATTCCTTCCTCATATTTTGATAGTGTTCCTTATTGTCTTCCTTCCACTCATTAATTGTTCTACCTACCACACATCTATTCACACAATCATTATTTTGAATGTAATAACCTTCTCTTTTCATTAACTGTTCTCTGTTTTCACATGGGTAGTCTTCTAATAATTCAATCTTACAGTTGTCCATTCCATATTCATCAAACAACAAACGACAGTTTGTTTTATTATTCCATTGTTCTGCCTTGTTATAATTTTGTCTATGTCTTGCCATTCTTTGGCTCAAGCTTTCACAGGTGCTTCCGATGTAGCACTTATTATAACCAACATCTGTTATTTTGTAAATCTTTGCGTTTTTATATTTACTGCTATCCATTAATAACCTTAGTTATCTTTTCTTTAACGCAGTTTATAATGTCCATAAGGCAGTGAATTGAAAGCATCAATGTAAAACCTTTTATTTTCATAATTACTGAGTGATTGCTTGACTTGAGACATTGAAAATAATTGATGGTTGCGACTACGAATAAAATTATATGTTATTTCATGCTTTTTGTTTTGAAATAATGCTTCGTGGTAGTTTTGGTAAGTCAGTTCTTTCTTCACCTTGTGTTTCACTACACCTTTTGATTTCTTTTGTTCTTCTTCTTCACCGTGTATTGTAAAAGCATACGATTTAGGCTTTAACCCTATGAATTGTGTTATTGTTTGACCGTTGCACTCATCCTTGAAATAACCGAGTTTTTTCTTATTTGTTTTGTCATGGCAGGGGTGTTCAGGTGGATAATCGCTAAAGTCCATATATTGGTTTAATTCTTTGAAGTCCTTGTAGATGTCCTCAGTGAATGTTTGAATTACATAACTGTCAGTATCAGTATAAACCAGTTTGATGTTTTCATTGTATTTCTTCTTAAGAACATCATAGTAGAACTGATACATATGTAATTTACTGATGTCAAGGATTGTCATTCCTAAGAAAATCGGTTTGTCCAGTTTCAGCTTCGCTTTAGTTTTTTCAACTCCTACAAGGTTTTCATTAATAATAAATCTATTTTTGAATGTTGGATTATTAACACATTTTTCGTATCTAACTTCATTATCAACTAATTCAAAGTCCATATGATTTCGTTTGTCTTCCATAGTTTTTCCATACACAGAATTATTCATTAATTTGAATAAATCTTTCTCAAAATCGCTTTTGGCTTCTTTCCTTTTACCTGTGTTAAAATCAATCCACGGTTTCAACCATGCCCTCTGTTGAAATTTTATTATCCTATGGACTTTTGTCATTTTCATTCCCATTTTCAAATAATACTGTAAAGTCTTGATATGAACCACATATTTTTCTTTATCCTTTAGATTTAATATTAACTTACTTGTTTTCTCATCCTTGGGATTTTTGCCATCATAATATATTTTGTAGACTTGCTTTTGATAATCAGAAAGCATACTAACATTTACATTCATTATTTCAGGCGCTAGTGGATAGTCAGAGTGGAAGTCGTGCAATGTTTCGGGATATTCCAAATCAACTTCCATAATATAACCGAACTCATCGTTTTCATTCCATTTTTCAACACTGGGCGTTTTCTTTGCCCACTTGATATTTTTTAGCGGTAATTTCTGGGACATTGCTAAACCATACAAGTTATTAGCATCCAAGTAGCTAATATAATTTGATGGCTTGTTCTCATCATATGCTTCCCCCATATACTTATTATTTGCCACCGCTAATTTATGACTGACTTGACACATTCCTCCTCTCATTCCCTTTTCAACCATCTCAAACATTTCTTGGTCATGCAATTGTTCTATTTCAACACCAGTTTTTAGAAGCATCGCGTCCCATGCGAAATTTGGCAACGTATAATAATGAGCGGGGTCTAAACCGTAGTATTCCATACACAAGTCTCTAAAGTTTTCAAATACATCGGTCAGTAGTAAAACATCAGTTCTTAAATACAAGTCGTGATACTGCCCGAGTGTTCTAATCCCGAAGTGCTTCCATACTTTCAGTGCCCTTTCATAATCTTTATCACTTACATGTTCCTCACTTAATTTACTGTAAAACGCTTCTTTCGGTGGTAAAGCCCTTTCCTTAAATCTTTCAAAATCATCAAAGTAGTCATAGGGATAAATACCCTTATCAGTCAATAAATCCAAATCTTCATCGGTTTTAACATACGGGTTTCTAACGCTGTATCTGAAATTGTTCTTCCAATTCTCACGCTTTTTATCATCCTCATATTTACTCAACCTGACCAACTTATCCAACGAAGACGATAAGAAACTGAAACTGTCCTTGAAACAAAGATTTTTAAAACCAAAGGTTATAAACTTTTCGCTGTTCTGAGCGATACATTCTATTTTAGAATTCTTGTTCAGTTCGTGAGCCTTGTTGATGATTAAGTGGGCATCGTAGTTTTTAAGATTATGAAGAAACACAGGGATTTTATAATATCTCATACTAAATCGTAGATTGCAGTCCTCGTGGGCGCATCCTCTATACTGCCCCGTAAAGTGGCAATGGTCCCAACACTTCTTTTCTCCTTCCTCAAATTTGTTTCCACAAATGAAGCAGTTAGTGGCATTATTGAAGTCCTCCCAGTCCTTCTCGGTTTCAATACGGTC